CACACACACACACACGCGCACACACACACACACACACGCGCACACACACACACACACACACACACACACACACACAAACAAACGTATGTGTACACGCACACACAAACGTATGTGTACTCTATTTTTATTCCAATAGTCCATAAGTATGAGCACACACTTATTTGACACTTCATATAGTCAGTGTAGAAAGAAAAAAAGGGAAAGAAATTGCAAAATTTACAATCAGCATTCACTTTCACTTACATCAATTTCTTGGATGTCTTTCATTTTACTTCCTCCGTCTTTCATTTTGATCACTTTTACCCTCTCTTCCAGTGTCAGAGCTCTTCTTGTCTTAGCTGCTTGACATCCAAAGGTCCGTTTTGTAGCCATTTTCGCAATACAACGTTCTTGCTGCGTCTGAAACGAACAATAACAAATACTTCCTGGACTACTGCGCATGTGTAAACCAGTGTGGTGGTTGTTGTTGCCGTTTCCGAATGAAGCAGTAGAGGTCGCTGTTGGATTAGACTTCGTTGTGGTGAACCTCGTCGCGAGGCAAGAGCAGCGAAAAACATTTCGTATAACGCAACAGGGTTTTTTTTTCTTTGAATGGGGGGCAGGAAAGTGGGAATGGTGTTAATGCATGAAGATTTTTTCACACTAGCAGGTATTTTGCCCCATGAAGGTTTTGTTGTCGAGGAGTTTCACTGTATATATGTGGGCGGCCTGGTGTTCCAGCGTGACCACCTCACAATGCAGACGTCGTGGGTTCGATCCCGGCCCCAGGCTTCCTGTGTGGAGTTTGCATGTTCCCCCCGGGCCTGCGTGGGTTTTCTCCAGGTACTCTGGTTCCCTCCCACATTCCAAAAACACGCATGGCAGGCTGATTGAACACTCTAAATTGTCCTTCGGTGTGAGTGTGAGCGCAGATGGTTGTTTGTCTGTGTGTGCCCTGTGATTGGCTGGCAACCGGTTCAGGGTGTCCCCCACCTACTGCCCGAAGACGGCTGGAATAGGCTCCAGCACCCCCGCCCCCAAAGACCCTTGTGAGGATAAAGCAGAATGGAAAATAATTGGATGGATAGAAAGATAGATAGATCGATATGTTTGTTTATTCACATTCAAAGTTTGTTTGATCTGTAATTCACCGACGGCATTGTCAAAGAATGGGATTCTGGAGCGCCAGGTGAAGCATTTTAAAACGTTACACGCGAGCTACAATTGTGATGTTTCTCCACTTAACACGTTACTAAAATTGCGTCACTGCCCCCTCTGTGTCAGGTCGCCCAAGGCAGGCAGTAATTTCCTCTTCCTCTTCACAAACTCTTGTATCGACTTAATTTTTCTATTTCGTGTATGTTCGGGCCCATTATGGCTGTTTTTCATCATGGCATGCATGTGTGCGTGCGACTGTTTGCGTGCACATGCGGTAAAGGGTCGATCACAGGAGGTTGACTACTTGAAAAGTAGATCTTCGGTCAAAAAAAGTTGGGCACCCCTGCTCTTAACTAACCCACATAAAGTCGGTCTCTGGGCATGGCTATGCACTTAGTAGCTTGGTCGCTTGAATGCCACAACAATCTGTCCCATTTTCCAGGAGTGCGCCCATCACTAATAACGTGGGCCGCAGCCCACCCAAGCCCCTTCCGCCTTCCGTCGAAGCACCGCCCAACAGGTATCCCCCATCGCCGCCATTTCGTGCTTCGCATCGACACTGTGATATGCTCGATTTGTGCTTGCTGTCATGGGAACAGAAATTAGCTTTTTAGAATGACAAAAGAATTGGGACACATACAGTGCATTAATGTATGTTTGCCCATTCCTGTCCTAAAGGTGTGATCAGATGAGTTTGGTGGTGGGGCGGGGGGTGGTATGGTTTCGTCCACCTGATGGAAACTCGAGAGCTCCCTTTGTCCTGAGACATGTTGAAGCGGCACGTGGCTCATTGTTGCTCTTTTTATTGCGGTATAGGTCTGTCAGCGGCAAGAAGCTGTGCTCCAGCTGTGGGCAGCCGCTGGGTAAGGGGGCCGCCATGATCATCGAGACCCTCAGCCTCTACTTCCACATCGACTGCTTTAAGGTGAGTGAAGAAGCCTTTTTCCTCAGGTTAGCATGAGTAGGAGGGGTAACAATTATGAAGCGAGCAGATTTTCGGGGGTTCGCTCCATTAATATTGATTTTGATTGTTGTGGTGAGTGCGGCGTGTGCAAGGGCCAATTAGGAGACACATCCACGGGCACTGACGTGCGGATCCGCAGCGGCCTCCTCAACTGCCACCAGTGCTACATTCGCTCCCGCTGTGAGTTGCCTCTACCTTCATCGTTGCTGCACATCACACGTGACCATTGAAAAGTCATTCGCAAAATCGCCCAAAATTTAAGTACCCCAGATACATGCAGGCCCTTGATAAAGTGATGTGTCCTTCCGCATAGTCTGTAGAATTCCTCAAAAATAAACGCTAACCCAGATTTAATACAGGCTAATGATAAAGCTTGTGCAGGCAGTTGGATAACTAAAAATAATCCACAAATATTTCAAGTAATCTCTTGTAGATGAACGGATGGACTGGCTAGAGCTATGCAGCTGGTCGCATGTAGTCACAGCAAACTCACACAAACCATCAGGCTATGTGGTCATCCGCAGAGTTAGTTGAATCGCTCAAAAATGAAATACCACTGTGGTGTTGTTCGCTCATTAGCCAAAATGTTAACGTTATGCTACTAAAGTGAGACCGAGTTACTCGGTTTCTATTGGCCTATTGTTTTGTTTTGTTTTGTTTTGTTTTTACCAATATGTACCCAAAAACAAACAGCTCTTCCAAATACCACCATAATGATGCAATTAAAATTGACTGCACAAACTTAATACAAACTGGAAACAAACCGTTCTGAAAAAAAAAAAATGTTTTGGGGGTTGTCAACATTGAAATATAACTGAACTGTAGTCTAAAAAAAAACGCGGTTTTAAATTTTTAAAAAACGTTAGACACTGTAACATGATACACAGTTTGCACATTTAATTCCATATTTTTTTCTGTCTACCACTAGAGGGAGCTTGCATGCCACTCCACATTTTGAGAATCACTGACAATCGCAGTCATCTATCTACACAGCCATGATCAATTTCCTTGCGATTCGTCATCTCGCCTGCGCCCTCTGTTGCCGCTTGCTGAGCGTTTGCTGCTCTCTCGTTTCCCCTCAAGCAGCCGGACAGCCGACCACCTTGTGACGCCTCCGGTCAAGTTGAACCCGATCACCTGCCAAGCCCGGTCCTCCCGTGCAACCCCATTTCATCACATCACATGCCGTATGCAATATATTATTCTTTAACCGCAGAGTGTCAGGCGTAAGAACAGTCACTCGATCGTATCCGCATTTTTATGAAGCACAATCTATTTAAACCCCCATTCAGTTCCATATAAAGCATGTACGTTAATTGGATTTAACCTGGTTTAGGCATCTCATTTTTTCCCCCCCTACTTTTCATCAAACGGCATCCATTTTATGCCACTGCCAAAACCAGATGAAATGAGATATGCAAAGGCACCTTCGCAATGTGCAATACTGGACCTCGACAAGGGCAAATGTCATTTTGGATCAGCAATGAATTGTACACCTGAGTGATGATGTCCAAAAATTGTTACTCTAATCCAAATAATCCACAAGGCTTCCACTGACACACACGCTTTGAATGTAATTCACAAGGGCAATAACTGGACTCGCTGCTTTAATGTGCCTTAGGAACAAAAAGGATGACGATGCAGCAAAGAAACATTCAAAAAAAAATGTTTGTCCCCCCATTGTTTTTATTTCATTTCAAGGAGAAAAAGTGGCCAAATTGTCATCGTCCTCCAAACTCCTTTATTGCAAGTCGTCCACTGTGCCGCCGCAGTGATTTTGCAGTGATTGAATGCGCTTGTCGTCCATTTTGAGGAATATAAGCAGGGCAAGACAATTGACCTTTCGCTTAAACCGCACCCCCCGGAAACGTAGAGCAGCCAGTCACAGCGCAGCACAGAGGCTGCCGCTTTCCTGGTTTGATTTTTGCTTTTTTTTTCCTCTATGCACAGCTGAGTGACACGAAGTTTGGATGGAAATGTATTCTTTTTTTAGGCTGGAGAAAAGCTGTTCGGTCGTCCACATAGTCGATTGAATACGTCCATTTTAGTCGGTTGAATAGCGCAAAAATCCAAAACTAGGCTAGAAAAATCCAGACTGGATGAAGCCACGAGGCTGTCTGCATCGTCTGATGAATCCCTCAGGAATCGACTAAAATTCAACTTAGCCCAAATGAAAAGCAGGCTTGATAAAGCGAAGCAGTTGGCCTCAGTCGGTTGAGTAGTGCAAAATCGAAAAGCAGCCCAGACAAAAGCAAAATGTGGATGAAGCTATGCGGTCATCCAGCATTGCGAGACGAAATGTTTTTTGTCTTTTTTTTTTTTTTTTTTTTTTTGCCTTAGCAACAGTAACTAGCGTTCTAAGCGAAAGGTCTATTGAACGTATGCCAACTTTTTTTTTTGTTTGTTTTTGCTGTATTTGCTATTTGAGAGCTGGGCATTGTGCTGCGGATGTTAAAAATAACTGCACGTTTACGCCTAAAACCAAAAGATGATGTTTAAAAAAAAAAAAAAGTACACATCTGAGCAATAGTTGCTGCGCTCCCCGGTGTCGTTGAGCATTTTCCTCTCTCAGTATTCCTCCGCTTCTCTTTTTCTTTTCGCAGGGAGGCTTTCTTGTGTATTTATTATAATAGTCACCTGAACATTATCAACACCTTTCAATGTATCCTTTCATTCACTGTGTCAATGCAATGACTATGTTTATAAATAAAACCATCCAAAGTCAGTGTCTGTCTGTATTTTGATTTTGAGGAATTTCTTATTTGGTGGAAGGGTCAAACTATGAGAAACGGGTCTCCTAATCTCAAAAGTGAGTATTCGCTTTCATGTAATGCAATGGACCGCATGCCATTTTCTTCACATTTTGTGCAGGTTTTTGCATTAATTTTTTTTTTTGTCATTTTTTTTTGTATTCTATTTTTTTAAATCAGAGCTCATGAGAATGTGTAGGTAAATGTATTTGATATTATATTTTTTTTTGTTTGATTTTTTTGATTTCAGAATTGTTTGAAAAGAGATGTAAGTTGTATCCCAAATGCTTAAATTTAGTACTATTTTCAGGACTTTTAAAAAACGTTTTGGGTTTTTTTTTTCGTTTTTTTGGGGGGGGGTTTCATGAATCGTACATTAACATTTTTGTCTCCGTTAAATCTTGGTTTTTTTTTTTTTTGTGACTCGGTGTAGAATTTTTAAATGTTTTCATAAATAGATCAAATGTGGCTTGTTTGGCAGAAGTGGTGTTATATAACAGCTGTTGCTTCGATGTTGCACTGACAGTCTCATTTTAGTTATTGAAATATTTTTTTAAATTTTACATTATTGCAGTATTTGTATTATGTCAGTTACAACTTAACTTTAGTTACCCCTTTAGTGAGGCAGTTTCATATTTATTCATGTTTTGCCATCTACCCTCTGTCAAACCAAAATGAGATTTATTTTCCTCACATTGAGATTTGTTACATTTACAGTATTCATTAAAAAAAAATCTACTTTTCAGCACGTCTGTTAGCTGTGAACTAAAGATGGATTAAGATTAAATGTTTATTTGTGAAATAGAATTTTTGCACATTTTTGCCAATTCTAGTTTCTCCTTATGCAACACTTCCACCAACATTTTTAATTTGCACTCTAAATCGAGGTAACACTCTTTACATTATTCAAAATCAATCCCATAACCCTTTCATGCACCCTGTCAGCTGATAAAATGATAAACTCCACTGTAGTAATCGCTGTCCCTGAAAGGGTTAAAATGAACATTTGCCACTTGTTTACCTTATTAATATCGCTTTATATCACAATTTTTCACATTTGAAACAGAAAAGTGACCTTTCCCACTGTCATCGTGTGTGTTGTTTGTGTGAGTGAAGCTGACAACAAAAACATGACCGAGCCATTTAGATTTTTTTTTGCTATAATTATTATTTTTTTTGTTTCATCAACAAACATCTCAATGCCTTGGAAAACTATGTTCACACGTAGAAATATTCCCTTCTTAAATATAAGCATCCAATTCCTAACAACATATAAATATCCTTCCAGACAACAACACTCACAACAAAGTGGGAGATTTAAAACAAAAGAGACGACATGCAAATTATATCCAAATAAATACAACATTTGCATGCATTCCCTTTTTACCAAAAATAAATTCTTCGGGAATGCGACTGAAAATGAAGACGATACGTGTCTATGATTCAACTATTAGGAGACAAGAATACATATTAACACTATACAATTGGAGCCACAAACACACCGCAGTAGAAAGACACACGAAACATAGATTCATGTCTGAGGTTGGGCGGGGAGCTGAAAGAGAGGGGGACCTTTGCTGTAATTGTGCCTTTTTCCCCCATTATAGTGGACAAAGGCAAGAAAATATCAACTTAAAAAAAAGTTAATTTTCTGAAAACTCAAGTCGTGTGGTCGTCTGCATAGTGGGTTTGAATCCCACAAATATCCAAACCTTGCACAGGTAAATGCAAACACTGCGCTTTTCCGCAGGGTTCCTTCATTTGCAAAATGACCACAGAAAAGCAGGCTCCTCATAAATTTGTGGTTGGCCATATCGTCAGTCCGATACCTCCCAAAATTCAAAAATCTGATCACATCAAAACTAGCCAAAATGGATGCAAACCGTGGACAATGCTATGCGGCTCACCACATACTTGGTTCAATATAACTTGAATCAAAACTCATCCAGATGAATGCAAAAGGGCAAAAGCTATGCGGCTCTCCACATAATAGAATCTCAAAAAAAAAAACTAAAATCGAACTAAAATCGGTCAGACGCATGGTCAGTTCATCCCTCAGAAATCAAAACAGATTCAATCCAAATTCTTGATAACACTCTGCAGTTGGCCGCACAGTCGTTTGAATCCTGCTCAAATCCAAACAGGCTCAGATGAATGATACCGTGCCATTATGTGGCTGTCCGCATAGTCAGTTCACTTCGTCAAAAATGGACACTAGATGGAAAGCAGGTCGCATAGTTTGTTGAATCCCCTAAAAATGTACTAAAATCAAAAGTAGCACAGATACAAATGCAAGATTTTGATAAAACAATGTGGTCATCTGCATTGGTGGAATGCTATTTAAAAAAAAAACAGCCCAGATGAATGCAAACTTAAATTAAAGCTATGCGGCTGTCCAAATTAAAAAAAAACACCTCTGGATAAAATTATGCGATCAGCCACATAATTGGTGGAATGTCACCAAAATCCAATCTTGTCCCGATAAATGAAAACTGGAGATAAAGCTATTCGGCAGTCCACATCTCTGAAAAATAGACCCCAGATAAAATGCAGGCTCTTGATAAGACTATGTTGTTGTTCACAAAATTGGTCGAATTCCATACAAATCAAAACTCCAGCCGCTGCAATGCAGGTGTTTGTGAAACTATGCAGTCTGCCACATAGTCAGCCGCGTGTTGGTCTGTTCCAGGATAAACATAGTATCTGTCAAGTAATGCAGTGCTGTTAGTTTTACTGTTAAAACAGTTGGTGAAAAAGGGGAAATAAGACGTGGACAAAACAATCCAAAATGTGTGTGTGTTGGGGGGCGGGAGGTACAAAACAAAACAATCCAATTTGAGTTGTTTTGTGAAGTTGGGTTATTTTCCACCCACCTGGTTTTAGAGCGAAACTGCAGTTTGCCGAATGTGCCACGAGAGTGTATTTTAGTTGAGCAAATGCCACACAAGAGGGAGACAAAACAAAAGCAGGTTTGACTGTCAAGTGTCCCATCAGTTTGTGTGTGACCACCTAGAACATGCTGCTTTTTACTAAAGCAGCCTTGGCTCCGTTCTGTCTCTGCAAGGACGACAGCACGCTGGCGAAGGGCCCGCCCAGCGAGTCCGGGATGGAGGTGATGGTCCCCGGGGCGGCGGCCCAGCCTTGGCTCGGCGACGTCACCCCGACCCCCATGCCGGACGACACGGCGCCCTTGCCGCTCTCCTCCTGTCCACCGTTGCCGCCGCCGTTCACCTGCACGCCGGTGGGGCTGGGCCCTCCGCAGTTGGAGGTGGGCACCGGGTTGGGGCCCCCCGTGCTGTCCGGGTCGGTGGATTTGCCATCTTTGCTGTCGTCGTCCCGCGGGTCCGATTTCTTGCCGGAATTGGACTTGGCGGCGGCTGCAGCCGCAGCGGCTGCGCGCTCCTGCTTGCGGAACTTGGCCCGTCGGTTCTGGAACCAAACCTTGAAAAGATCCCCAAATCCGTCATTAGTTGGCCACCACCTATTTTGAGGCTAAAATATCTATTTGATGCTGTTTGGACTAGTTCAAACGACTACTGAGGATCCCAAACATGGTCTTTCTTTCTTTTTTTTTTTTTTGTTTTTGCATAAACATGCTAAGTGACCGCTAATAACCCATTTTTACTGCATGCAGTTAATTTAATACAATAAATTCGATTCGACAGTTATTTTAAAAATGTCAATACAGCAGGCCTATTTGTGTTATAGGTCTTATACATGAATAATATACTGTAAAAGAGTTAAGAATATTTTTCTGCAGTTAAGGTAGCACATGCTCATTTGGGGGGGGGGCGAAATTGTGAGTCATATAATTAATTACATCATTGAATAATTTTCAGAAAATATACTGTATTCCTTCTCTCCAGTGCACACCCTATTGCCAATGCATGCCCGCTACTCTATATAAGTAACTATTTGGTGATCGGAATAACAATGAAAAAGGGTAATTTTGTGACTTCCGTATCCATACCTTTATCCTGCTCCTTTAGACAGTGTGCAATACATGTACAATTGACTTTAGTGTACATACTTATGTTTAAACTGTTCCTCAAATATTGTTAAAAAATGCATTTGTAAAAATAAATTGGGGGCTTTGCTCTTTTCACACCTGACTGCTAATAAACGTCTGGCCCTCTGCAGTCAAGTAACACAAGGCCATTTTCAATCTGCTTGATGTGACTTCACTTTAATATTTGGAATAGTGACACCAGAAGACGCTTCAATCGTGTGGCTTGTCTTCTGAAAAACGAAATACTTTTTTCATGCTTTAAGATGGAAAGTATGAAAAATATATACTTTTATTATTGATGATCATTATACACGATATTCTTAATGATTGGGATGCACCTTTATTTGCTTTGTATTGATCAGCATTGTTTTCATGTATGATAATATCGTTTATATCCTAACGTCTTTCAAGTGAGTGTTTTTATTTATCGACTTCAACAAAATAACACGTCGTTTTATAAAAACGCACTTGGAAAAATCACGACCTGATCTGTATGTGCGTCACCTTTGCGGTTAAGTAAAAACTTGCTTAAAGCATTCCATTTTGTGACGATATTCAAAGAAAAAAGAAAAAAAAAACAACCAAACTAATTTCCACTTGGCAACATTATGTCATTGTGTGCATTTATTTGAGTCTTGTTTGGGAACCAAATTGCGGTTTGGAGCGGAAAGAATTTGGGAGCCCCTTTTGTAACCGCAGCGCATCTTAGCGAGAATCCCCCTCGCTGCCCTTGACTTGGTGATTGTTTACCTGCACTCTAGCTTCAGTCAAGTCTATCTTGAGTGCCAGCTCTTCACGCGTGTAGATGTCCGGGTAGTGGGTCTCGGCGAAGACCCTCTCCAACTCCTTGAGCTGCGCGCTGGTGAAGGTGGTCCGGATGCGCCTCTGCTTGCGCTTCTCGTTCAGACCCCCGTGGTCCGTAAACAGCTTGTAGGGCACTGCATACGGCAAGAGGAGACGATGACGTCATTTCGTTAAAACAATATAAAAATTATAATAATAATAATAAATCCTTTGGGGGTCATGTTATGAAATCTTGAATCTAACTGCAGTACAAGTGGCATTGCGTTCTGTTTTGTGTCAAGTGGACGCCCAAGATTGGTTTCCCTCTTCCAGTTGACCAGCGTAAAAACGTATGTAATCATCTCGCGTGAAGTTGTCAGTTGTTGTCAACTGAATCAAAAGTGGAATTATCAATGTGATCTTTTAATCATAAATGTAAAGGTCAGTCGTTTGTGTCCAAAACGCCGTGCGTATTCGTCGCTTCAAAGTGTGTTCATTTCACTTTTACTGCGCGCGATTCCATTTTAATTGTGTTCAAGTCTGTGTCCAGTGATCATCCATATGTGCTTTTAGTCGCAAATGCATTTCAATTCTGTCCCGAAATGAGTGCTTTCGCCCTGCCCGAAAGCGTGCGTAAATTGTCATAACTCGTCGCCTTCCGCGTACTGTAACTCCCAATTTGGGCGCCAATAATGAGTTTTGCTCTTTGCTTATCTAATTATTCGTCTCATCGCAAAGTAAACACATTACGGCGGCTTATAGGATAATTCTGTTGGAGGCTTTCGCGTGTGACACGCGCGTAACCGAATTACACGCACGCAGCCGCTCCTAACACGATAAATTCCTTCATTTGTGTACGCAAATTCGGCTCCGACCGAGCGAGCCGTGGGTTGCCTCTTGAAAGTGCGCCTCACCTGCCGCGTAGGGGCTGCTCTGGTGGTCCCTCAGCGTGCCCAGGCTGCAGGATCCGGGAGCCAGCGACGGGCAGCCGCTGGTGGCCCCGAACGTGGTCCGGATGGGGTTGTACTGGAAGCCGCTGGCCTGGCTGCACGAGCTGAAGTCCGCGTAGGCCGACGCCAGGCTCGACGTGTCCATGCCGGCCATGCACGACTCGTAGGCGGACGAGTTGAGGTAAGAATACTCCATTTTATACATTTGGGAATGCACCCAAAAGCTGAAGAATCCCCAAGTCGTCTTATGGTGGCGGGCGAAAGGGATGAGAACGTGTGAGGTTTTTCAGGTTTTTTTTTTGTTTTGTTCTGGTTTGTTTGGGGTTTTTTTTTTCGATGTTGACTGCTCGGCGGCCACTCCAGAAGTGGCCTCCTTTATAGCAGCCCAGGCGCGTTTTGTGAAAAGCCCCCTAAGAGCCGCCTTGCCGGAGGTCTCCAGAGCATATCCAGCTCATCAGAAACGCGCGGACGAACAAAAGCAGCGCCGTGCGCGCGCCGCACTGCCTCCTTCCTTCCTACCTCCTTCTTCTTCCTCCACCGCTGCCACTGCCGCCTCCCTGCTTTACATGACAATAAGTCATCAGTCTATTGGGCCCGTCGTCCGGCCGAGCTGCAGCATCATTGATCCCCCCCCCCAATCCCATCCCCCTGCATCTGTAATTAGAATTTAATAGCGCCGCAGTAGAAGCAGAGAAGGAGAGCGGGCCTCCTTTTGCCCTTTAATTCGATCACACCACTTAGAAATAATGAAAGTTGGGTGACGATTCTCCCTGATGCAATTTGCTCGCCCCAAGCTTTTAAAAGGCAGCCTGCGAGCCTTTTGCCACACTGTCTTGATTTTCTTCTCTGTAGACCACCCCCCACCCCGCCCCATGTGGATTACACGGTGCTCATCCATGCAATAAATATTTGTGCACATAATTCACTCTAGGAATGTACAATGTCACATTTTTTGTACAATTTTGTTGTCACTCAGCCTGTTTTCTGTCATTTTGAATGACTTGTGATACGAACTTCCAATTTCCACAATTGAGTTTTTCTCGTTGTAATGAGTGCTGCAGCGGTCATCAACCGGGTCATATTATCTCCCCCCCCCCCCATGTGCACCTTTTATTATTTTTTACAATTATTCTGATTGCTTATTGCTGTTATTGTATTATGAGTATAGTTGCTCCAATTGTATATTAAAATATAGCAGAGTATTTTATTAACATTGTCTCTGCCTTTGTTTGGCATTAACTGCAGCTTTATGTTGTTTTTGACAAGGGTGATCAAGTTGATAATGAGCCACAAATTTCCCGTTTTCAAAACTGATTTATTCCATGAAACAAAATAATCAATTTAATGATTGAATGGATGCCGATACACTGTTAGCCCCTCTTAAGAACTTATAAACATCATGACGGAGAGTTACTAGTGTGCTTTTAGAATTTTGTGTTTTTCTTTTTTTTTCTGTTTTTTTTCCGACATCAAATGTGCACAATGTTTATGTAACTTTTATAGTGATCTACAAACTTCCTAATAATTTTTATAATGTAGTTTTTCTTTTCTATCATTTTTCCATCGAGCACCTCGAAGTGAAGTAAATGCAATTTATATTTTTATGAATTGTATTTTCAAATTTTTAGTCAATACAGTTTTGCCTTTTTCTTGGACATAAAATGTTCACCGTCATCAAGTAATAATAATTCCAAATATGGCTTTCATATTTTATGTATGCCTATTATTGGTGCAGTACGCTAATTACAATGTTCTAATTAACGAAACATGAATCAGTACCATAGCTTCATCTGATATATGATGTTGTAATGGTTTAAAATATTGTGTTTAAAAAAACACACACACACATTTTCTAGCCTATGCATATGTTACAATATTCATAACCGCATTTCAAGGAAATTAAACTGATCTATGAATAATTAGCTTGCTAGTTGGGAAAAAGTGTTCGTATAATACATATTATTTTCAATGAAAGCAAGTAAACGACATTTTCGTCATGGCAATATAGGTACAAATAGAATGTTGGTTTCATGTATGGTTATTCGAGATCTTTTTACGTCGCAAAAAGGCCTTGCCGTGATCTTCTATATGGTGCCACTGCTTTTCTTTGTTTTCGTGACTCGTTTGTTCCTCAATAATCTCATTACACGTTTTTAGATTATACAATGAAAATCCGGCGAAATTAAAGAAAAAAATACCCCCAATCATTTGTGATTTTCCCTTCAACTGCCCATGACGTTATTCGTTTCCCAACCATTTCGTAATTTTAATGAGTAGTGGTAGTAATAGCCGCAATAAAATGGCCATCAAGTCAATTTTAGACGATGTAAATAACATTCTAATAAGGACCAATCATCTTTTGGTCGTTAAACGAACGAAAATGTCTCCATTGTCATCCGATCGACTTCCAAATTGTCTTTATTGCTTTCATTCTTGCTTTGCTTCGCCCCCGTGCAGTAAACGGACGTCGTCGTTCTAATCGAACCTTTTCACTTTTTTTCACGCAACTCCACTTGAATTGCGTTCAAATGAGCACATTTTTTCTTACTTTTCCCAAAAAGCCACTCGAGCAAATACCTTTTCACCCCCAGTGCATCAAGTGTGTGACTGATTTAAACGTACGATTTAATTGCCATCGTTCACAAAATATGAAACTGTGCTGCCACCACTCACCGTCACGGTCATTCATTTGCAAACCTTTTCACTTTTGAAACAGTAAGTCATTTATCACGTAAACTCACCCCGTGCGTTTTTTGTGTCTCCCCCTTTTTTCTTTGCACAGCATATTATGGAAATGCCCTTTTTTGCCCCCTCTTTTTTGCACACAAGCTGGTGCTCGACGGCCAAGAAGAAGTGAGCTAATTCAATTACGGCTAGCCAAAAGGGCCAAATGGCGCACACCGTCATCCCAGGACTCCATCCCTCCCTCCACGCGTCTGGCGGCCAGCACAGAAATAAAAGAGAAAAAAACGCAGCAAAAATAATCGAATCAGTCTCAGAAGGAAGCACAAGGCCAAACGCAATTAAAAGCTTGCTTTTCTTTCGCTCTCTCGCTTTTTCTCTTTCGCGCCATAGTCCACCAGCTCCCCTTTTCTTTGTCCTTTTTGAAAAAAAGGCGTCTTTTCCCATGTTTACACCTGCTGCAAAGAGCAGGTCATAACATTAGGGATACCAGCGCAAACCACACAAGGGACAAAAAAAACGCGGCTTTGACGCACGATGCATTTGCATGTTCTCTATGACAATAGATTAGTGATTGTTATTTGTCATCAATTGCATCTCTCTCTCTTTCTCTCTCTCTCTCTCTCTCTCTCTCTCTCTCTCTCTCTCTCTCTCTCTCTCTCTCTCTCTCTTAAACTGGTTGCACTTAACATTTAATATTAACACAATGTCTAATTGCATTTTTAATTCATCAATAAAAAACAAATTTTACTGTGTCAATGAGTAAAAAGATATATTTGACAATATAAATTTAATGAGCCCGCTACCCTCGTGAGGATATGCGGTTAGAAAATGGATGGATGGATGAAAGTTAATTGAAAATAGATGTATAACATAATGTAAATTTTCGAACTTTACATGAATAGAAAATTACTGATCGTTATAAATGTAAATTCTAAAAGGAGAAAAAAATTACTTGTTCAAATTAAACAAATATTTAAAAATAAAAATAAAAAAAAGAAATGGTTGTAATTTGCATATTTTGTCAAACCTTGCGTGAAAAGCGAGTTCACGTGACGACACCGAAGTGAGCGTGGGGCTAACGTGCGTGCGCTGTTTCGAGTTCGTTTAGCAGTATGGCCAGTAAATTGTGTAATTCTCATTTACGTGTCTGTAAGAACATTGGGAAAACTGGCCATAATCCGTTCTGTTAACATGTTAATTGTTTTGTGCAACGTTCCGCGTCGTGAGTCTTAAATTCTTGTCACGTCGTGAAATTACGTGCCGGAAGTGGCACCAATTCAGTGTCAAAATAAGAGCATAAACCGAAAGTGATGCTTAAATTTTGCAAGTTTAACTACACTCTGTATTTGAATATACTGTAGCTTGTAAAGTGAAAGTGTCCTAACCTATGTGGAGTACACGCGTTTTTTATTTGCCTGTTTTATGTCTTCATTTATGAAAGCCACATGAACACATCCAACCCCAAATACCCACAGCCCACAGTAGAGTATGAACTTTGAAGATAGAAGTGAAGTGAATGAGGAAAAACAGGAGAAGAGTGAGAAAAGACAAGCACTTGTCCTGGTGTGGAGACAGCTCATTTACTCAATCAGTGAGCAGTGTAGCAGAAGACTCCTACAATCATAGTTGGCATTCATTTTTGTGTTAAAAATGCTAGTGTTGAGTTTTTGAGCATTCAGACGTTATATATATAAAGAAACAATGGCATTTTGTTTGTTTGATGGGAATGCTGCAAAGTAGGTTCGAAGCAATGTTATGTGTGTTTGCTCTGTTGCATTTCAGCCCCACATGCAAGCATTCATGCAGTTGTTTACAGGATAATAATAATTGCCCTCCCCCCATGCATTTCATGTGCCCCCCTAATGATTGATGTCTGGTGATGGATCTGCAAATAATAAATGAACAGCATGCATTTATTATAAAATACAAATACACAGATAAATCACATGAAAATTAATAGTACTAATCACAATGAAAATTTTAAAGTAAAACATTTTAGTTGATAAAATATAAAGCTGTGCCCAAAATACAAAAAAAAAAAAAACATTTTATATTCCAAAATGATTTTTTAAATGAATGTAATAAAATATAATAAAAATAGTAAAATACTGTACCGGTAAATAATACTTTAAATAAAAATTAAACAAGGAAAAATATATTTTAGGAAAGGAAATAATCCACAAATATAGACATTTATTGAACAGTAATAAAATAAGTGTCATACAAATGTCAGGAAATTAAACAGAATTATTCAAAATGTGTGGTTTTCATATTTTATATTTCAAAAATATAAAATATCTAAAATTACGGAAACATATTGCATTCACTGGAAAAGGGCTTTGTTTATTTTAATAGTATATACATATATATATGTATATGTATAATGTCTTTTTTTACTTTCTGGTTTTTAGAGTATTTTTTTCTCTTTAATGGAATTATTTTTTTCCATTTGTTCTGAATATTTCTTCTACTGTCATTAAAAAAATCTGGAAAACGGAAAAAATGAACAGAATAAAATATATATAATAACAGAAACCAAAAAAATCATATAATCTCAATATGTATATATATATATATATATAGAGAGAGAGAGAGAGAGAGAGAGAGAGAATAAAAAACTGTGGATTTTTTTCCAAGTGAATGCAATAAGTTCTGTACAAAATAGAATGAGTGCATGAAAGTAGAATGATACCTATAGCAAAACATTGACTACATATGATGCAAGACATCCGTCTGTCATAAATTAGGAGGCTCTCCTGGAAGTGAGTCTATGTAGGGGCCATTGAAGTTGCACATTTAAGTCCTCATCAAAGGGGAAGCAGCCCCACGAATATGTTCCTCACTTCAATAAATCACAGCACA